ATTTTATTAATGGTTAAATATTATTTATTTTGAACAACTTTCAGGATGAGTTGCTCCATCTGGCTAATTTGAATTTAGATGTGAATTGTGAAAAATGTATCTTTTTTAAATAGCTATAAATGACTTAAACTACTAAAAGATAAATGTAAATTTGTTGTAAAAAAAAAATAAAAAATAGGTTTGTCTAAAGCAAACCGTCACTGAGTAACGAAGTCAAATGCAAGAAGCATTTCTCCCAGGTCCTCTCTTCATGTTTCATGTTTATCTATTTTTCATGTCAACATCACAGCATCACTTTTACAGCCTCCAGCTGTTTTTCCTCTGTACTGCCCTCATTCTGTTATTATCTCTATACCTATTCCCCACTTCCTGATACTGCTACCACCATGCATTAGCCTGGGAATGTTGGTCACAAACAAATTATTTTGCATCCAGGGCAAAGAGTTAACATCTGGTCTCATGATCTGGTCAGTTCACACTGTTCCAAATGTTTGCTGTAGCCCTAAATAGAGCTGTAACTGTACATGTATCCATATCGATGTATTGATGAAATGATTACCAAACCAATTAAATTCTGATCTGCATCGTCAGCTTTAAGATGTGTCTTTATTTTGAAATTCACAAAGTGCAACACTACACTTACTGTCAATTCAATGAGTCACTGCTATTAGCTGGTTTTCCTTGGAAAGAAAACTTTGAAACTATCTGGCTGTATGATCCAGTTAACTTGTCTCTACAAAATGCCTTGAGGTGAAAAGTGTTGTGAAATAAACTGAATAGAAATGAATGTGTGTGTCCACCCCCTGACATCTGAAAGGCTGAGGGCTGCCTGGATTCAACACAGCAGTCTGGGGCTCCTTTCCTACCCTGTTCATCTGATTTATACCTATCAGTATTGCTCCTTGCCATTTTTTATTTTTCTAATTCTTTGATTTGAATCATCTCTTTATTTCCCATGTTGCAGCTGGAGAAACCTAAACCCATAAAGTGTGGGACGTTTGGGGCCACCTCTCTTCAACAAAGACACTTAGCAACAGGAGATTTTGATGGAAATCTTCACATATGGTAAATGTGAACTTTATTTTTTGGTAATTTCATATTTTTTTACCCTCTGTTTTGTAGATGTCCAATCTCTAAACAATCGATTCTGTTATTAATGGAAAAGGTGAATGGTAGAGGTAGACGTTTATTAATCGAGAGTGCGGTACACATATCTCTCACATCTACAGGAATCTTGAAGCTCCAGATGTGCCAGTCTACGCTGCAAAGGCTCACAAAGAAATAGTGAATAGCATCGATGGGGTTGGTGGCCTTGGGATTGGTGACGGTGCTCCTGAGATAGTCACAGGGAGCAGAGATGGTATGAAGGGGAAGTTTGATGAGTCTTAATTTGCACAGAGATGAAGGAGGTTAGAACATTAATAAGGAGGGAATCCGTTTTAATTTTTCTTCTACCGGGTTATGCAGGGACTGTAAAGGTTTGGGATCCCAGGCAGAAGGATTTACCTGTGGCCAACATGGAGCCTGTGGAAGGAGAGACCAGAAGGGACTGCTGGACTGTAGCGTTTGGTAATTAAAATATCCCTGAGTTTAAGTACAGACCATATTCAGGAAAATTAGATTTTATTTTTTTCCCATTAATCTTTAGTGGTCTAAAAAAAAAAAAGAAATAAAGATATAAACATAATTTGGGGTAAGCCTAGAAAATGTATTCATACCTTTTTAAATGTTTTTTTTATTTTTTTATTTTACAAACAACAACTACAAACTAGGGGTGCAACTAACAATTAATCTGACGATTAGTTTTTCAATAAATCAGTTAATAATGGTGTAGCCAAAGGTTCCTTACATAAGATTTTTCACTTAACTAAACCAGGTGAACCTAAAACTTTTCCCCTTGAGAAGTTCTGGATAGAGCATATTGACAGACGAAAACGCTATCTTAAATGCTAAATATTTATATATTTCTTTACAATTTTAATGTAATTTCTGCTCTAATTCGATTGGTTAGTCAGCTAAAGGAATGTTTTAGAGTCTCTATATTCCAGTTGATGATTAATAGATTACTAAATTAGTTGACGATCATTTCAATAATCGATCACGATTAATCCGATAAATTGTTTCAGCCCTACTACAAAGCAATATATTTTAAAGGGAATTTAGATGGAGAGCAGATTCCACAGCAGCGTCTGGTCAGTTCAACCCTACCATCTTCCTCCATCACTGTGCAGAAAACAGGCCTGGTCCAGACTGCAGCAAACAATGAGGTCAGCAGAGAGCATCATCTGGGCTGACCTTCCCTCCATCCAGGACTTGTAGAAACGGGTCAGGAAAAGGAAAGCTAACAGACCCCTATATCATGTGGATGTATTACAATCACACCCTTGCCCCTTTTCTTTCCATAATAATAAAAAAAGAAAATTGTTTATGTATCTAAAGTGAAGTCATATTCTATGATTATTTTCTCACAATCCCAGCCGTATAAGGCTGATTGATTCTGATTGTGTGGTTTTTCAAAATTACTTATAAATACAAAGCTTAAAAGCCATGGCATGATATACATTCACCCCCCTTTACCTTGATGTCCTTAAAAGAAAATTAGGGACTAAAGTCGCCTACAGACTCACCATAATGTCCCACTTTTTGTATATCGATTATAGAAAAGTTATTGGTTGTAAACTGGAAACAAAAGCTTGTTATAATGAAATGCCATTACCGTAATAAATTGTTAAAGATACGCTCTGTCTATGCAATGTTTGCAAAAAAATATGAAAATAAAGCCACATTGTTGGATGATTATGTCTACTGTAAATTTCAGGTCACGCCTTCAATGATCAAGACCGCTGTGTGTGTGCTGGCTACGACAATGGAGACATCAAGCTGTTTGACCTGCGGAACATGTCTCTACGATGGGAGACCAACATAAAAAACGGGGTGAGGAGAAAACCTCAGCATCAAACTCCCTAATAAGGAATATGCGACTGTGACTTAAATTAGGGATTTTAATCATTTGTTTGATCTGTATTCCTCTAATTTAACAGGTTTTCTAGAAATATATAGAATATATTTAAAATAGGTTCAAGAAAAGCAGCAGTTTGTTGACAGGGTTGAACTTTAGAAATGTCACCTAAGAGGCTGGAGATGACGTATTCATCCCAAAACCAGTTATATGTGTGGTTAGAGATCATTATCTTAGTGAGCTGTGTGGCTCCCAGGTAGAACAAGCTCAACAGTTTCAAAGGCAACAGACCTCAGAAAAAAAATCTGCTTTTCAGTCATAACTGACCATAAATGGACAGGGAGCTGAAGGCTTCTGAATATAAACGACTGCACTGCTTTGATTGTTCAGCCGATGCTCTTATTCATTCCCTCTTGAATCTAGATGCGGATGATTGCAAAGTGGAGCCTGATATTTTTTTTTCTCACACTCTGAGCAGGTATGCTGTGTGGAGTTTGACAGGAAGGACATTAACATGAACAAGCTGGTGGCCACGTCTCTGGAGGGAAAATTTCACGTTTTTGACATGAGGACGCAGCACTCCACCAAGGGCTTTGCCTCCGTTTCCGAAAAGGTGATTATCCAGGGTGGAGCAGGAGAGACGGTCAAAAGATTATTGTCCTAAATATTTATCCTCCGGTTGTTGGATTTGGAGGGATATAAGGCTGCCTGTTGTTTTCCCACCTGGAAGCATTTTTGAGGGGGTGTGTTTGTCCAAAGTCCAAATTAGAGACAAGACTGGTGAAAAGTGCGGCCTTTTGTGGGGAAACGCAGTCGGTGCTCAGCCGTCTAAACAAGCATCTGTTAGACCAGAGACATCAGTGGTTACAGCTTTTTAAACATTTACTTCAGGTTTACCGCATAGAGCATTAACGTCTGGAACCATCAGGTTACAGCAGGATTTCTGGTATAAAAGAAAAACCTAAACAAACAGTGGGCCATTGCTATTTTTATTTACACCCAAAAAAATAATAAAACTGATCCAGAAAGTTAAGATAAGTTTAAAAAAAAATCTATACTTGATATTTTCTTTTTAAGTGAAATATTTTTCGCTTTCAGGCTCACAAATCAACCGTCTGGCAGGTGAGACATTTGCCACAGAACAGAGACGTCTTTATGACTGCAGGGGGAGCAGGCAACCTTCATCTCTGGAAGTAGTAAGTAATCAAAGGTTAATTAGACCAGTTGTGTAACGATAGTTTTTCAAATGGATTAATTTCTCTGTGCAAAAGTATTCATACCCCACCGTCATTTCCACATGGGGGAAAAAGGCTGCGGTATCACACAAAGAAATCATTTACACATATTTTATAATACTGATGTAGCTTTTAATCCAGTTTTCTTTTTTTAATTTCTAGTGAGTATCCTGCACAGAGGAGCAAGAAGGACTCTGATGGAGTGGAGGTGGGCGTCGCTGGCACCGTCAACCTCTTACAGAACGTAACTCTGTCCACTCAGCCGATCGCCAGCTTGGACTGGAGCCCCGACAAGCAGGGACTCTGCGTGTGTTCTGGCTTCGACCAGTCTGTCCGCGTGCTCATCATCACAAAACTCAACTCTGTGTGACAAACAGGGACCAAAGGGGGGTGGGGGACAAATGGGAGCATCTGAAACTCTTTTTTTTAAAAGCCACAAACTGTTTCCATCTGCAACCATTGGCAGTTGGATGAGTTCACCTCAAGTGAAATGGGGAAGAAAAAAAATTTTTTTGTGGAAGGACAAGTCTAGGAATGTGTGTGTAAAATATGATCCTACAGAACACAGTGATACAAGTTAGTATAAGCAATATTATTCACCTGCATGTCAGGGATGTCAAGGTTTATAATCTAGATTAATTTATGTTTGAGGCTCACTAATAAACCTCTGTTGGCTGGATTTCCATGTTGGGTTTGTTAGTTTTCTGTTTCGATCTGATTTTTTATTTTTCCCCACTACAACCTGTTTTCAGATTAAAAGTGTTCTTGAAGAGATTCATCAGTGTCCAACGTCAGGCATTACTGAAATATATGACATCACAGTTCAATAAAGGCAAAGTTCTTTATGAATCAAGCACAGAAGAAAGTGCCATAACAGGTAAATGGAGAATAAACATTTGTCAGACCCAGCCTTTGAATTTGAAGAAGTTCTGCAGATCTGGATCGTCTTCCTGTTTGTCGTTGATTTTTGCGTAGACGCTCTTGATCAGTGCGGTTTTGGATTTCTCCTCCAAAATGTTGATGTATTTCTCAATGCAACCTGTGGGTAAAGTCCCAGATATGGTGCATTAAAGGTTATGACATTTGCAGTTTTTGTTCTAAAAGCATTCAAAGTTATTTTAATCGGAAAAGGTGCAACAAATGCGGTAGGGCCCATAAAATACTCAGAGATTTGTGGCTTTGGCTCGACAAAATATGAAAAATTAGTTAGGGATTAGGATTATTTTTTTCACACATCATCTGCTATTCCAAAAGTATTGCTTTAGAATTCTTTCAGTAGTTGAAAAGGCATACAGGTTTGATCATTATGACAGTAATTACTTAGCCCCATGACTCTGCCATATGACACCAGACTCGGGTTGAGCTGTGGGTGGTCATACTGTTGCTGTGACATCAGCAAACGGACGATCTCCCCACTGATGAAGGCGTCATCCAAACTCTGCTCAGCCACAGGTTTCAGGGGGAACCTGCGATACACGTCGACCGCAGCCTGAGCGTCTGAGGGTTCCAGCAGCTCCACCAGCTCAATGTATGCATCATGGATCTATCGTCCAAATAATAAAGATATTTTGATTATAACCCTTTATTAATGACATCGTTTCTTTGTTATAATGTGTAGCCTTTGTGTGCATTTTTGATATTAGGCATGGGACTGTTTGGTGGCATCTACTGATTATTATTATTATTATTATTATTTACATCCATATTAAATCATGACAATTACTGACAGAAAGCATTTTACAATGCAGGGATTCTATACAGTCAGGATTTTGTCTGGATAACTAGTGGAAAATGAAGTCCCCTATCCTTTAGTCTGAGTGTTTCATGAGTCTTTCTTTATTTTTAATTTTCCTCGTACCTCTCAAATTTATAAAAAAAAAAAACATTATTTAACAAACTGCCTTATTTCAGAGATCTGATGGTACCTATGGAATCACCAGATCTCTGATGTATGACAGCTTTATTATTAAGGGGTTTTATATGTAAACATGCTTCTAACAGCACTTTGTTCTCGGAGTGCAACGATAATAGGGATTCCTAGAGATCTAACAGCAGAACGGGAGGTTAGCGCTTTAAGTTATCAAGGCTCCTTTCCTCTGGAACAAGTCCCAGATGTTTAAGGCAAGGCTTAAAACTTTGGTTTTTGATAAGGTGACTTAGATGACTGTCTTAGATCCTGAGCTGCCTCTGTAGTTAGGCTGCTATAGGTTTAGGCTGCTGGAAGACATGATTGTCCACTTTCTCTCACTTTGCTACTTTATCCTACTAGACAATTGTTAGATGTTTGCTATAAACTATCACAACATATGCTCTGGCAGTGTTTTATCTTACAAGAAGTTACACCTAGACTGAAACTTGGTTTAACCCTTGTGTCTTCATGTTCTCTGTCTACAGATTATATATTTGCCTCTGTATTTCTGTGTGTAGCTTACTCTCCTAAAATAAATGCTGTTTATATGTGTGACTGTTTAAGCCTTTAGTATTTGTAACTAGTTCAGAGCTTAATATTCTCTTTATCATATACCATTACTCCTGTGTGTCTTCCTAAACCCCTAGTCAATCACAACAGATGGCATTGCAGTTATCTTTTTGCTTTTTCAGGAGGGGCGCTGCTAGAAAAGCAGGTACTTCATACAATTGCTTAAGATTGCTCAGATAAGTAGACACTGTTTATCAATGTGGATAGTATGATTAACTTGTCATGTATGTGAGTGAGTGTGTGTGTCTTTCCTTTTTCTTTTCCTGCAAAAATATCCACTGTAGAACTATCTGCCATGTTTGTTAACTTTAATATTTAATATTATTAAATGAATCTAAAGAATTGGGAGCACAGTTAAATCTGAAAAGTCTGGAAGTTCTACATACAAAGTTTGTTCTAATCATGACACAGGAATCACTACAGATACAACTTTATCTTATAACCATTACAATCATGAGCGTAAAAATACATGAGGGAATACCCTTCATAAGACAAACTACTACTGTTAACAACCGACCCCTGGTGCCATGGTGATGACCTCTTGGTAGAGCTGCTTTGCCTGATCCTTGGTGTCTGCAGAGCGTGAGAGAGCCCTAGCCAGACCCAGCCGTGACACATGGGACTTTGGGTTTAATGGGGTTGCTGAGGCGCCGCCTCTGCTTCCTACTGACGAGTCTACAGATATAATCACATTGAATCATAGATAAGTTTTACACGGAAACGACCAAAAAAAGTTAAGCATTTTTTCCCCTTTTTTTCACATATTCAATGAGCTGCTTGATCTTAAAAAGAGAATTAAAGTCAAATGTTGGTCTTGAATTGTTCTTCCTGATCCTATTCTATTTTTTTTTCAAGGAATGTTTTGTTATTATCATTATCCTTAAGGATTGTGACAGTCAGACATGATATGATAACATTGCCATATTAAATAAAATAAATAAATAAAATAAAACTGGCTATTCTTAGTTCATGCTTGTGATCAATGATAGTGTTATTTAATTTTCTAGACTGTATTATACATAAAACAAAATATGTATTTATAGAGGAAACCCAAAAACTTGATTTATATTATTTCTGAGATCAACATACACAGCTACTCCTTCTATTCCTCATTTTCCTTCTTTGTAGTTTAGAGATTTGACCCAGAAGGGGTTCAAATAGACATGGCTTACCTTTTGCAGTCACACAAGTGTTGGAACTACAATCCTGTTCAGACCTGTTTGCAGGGAGCTTGGATTTGGTGCTGTGAGGTTTAGCTGATTTAGCTGGTTTTGCGGCTGCACCAGGTCTCCCCCTACAGGAGAAAGAATGTTATGCCAATTTTTTATTTTTTTTTTAATATAGATATATGTATATATATAGGCTGTGTAAAACAGGCATATTCATTATAATAGTAAATCACGTTTTTTGCCAAAAAAACAAAAACAAAACAAAAAATCTTTTAAACAATTAGAATTTGTGTAACACTGAAGTTTTATTTATAGCTAGACAACCAATAGGAGGATAAAGAATGATTTGCACAGCTCTGATTTGCAGATCTGCAGGGTTTTTGTAAGGTTGAGGTCTGCTGACTGATACTTTTTCTAAAAAAAAAGGTTGATTTTGTGTCTGGTTAACCATTTCCTTCTTGATGTGGTCATATATTTTGGATCATTACTGTTTTGAAAGACCGATTAGAGGACTCATTTCCTTTTTTTTTTTTTACAACACACCAAAAATTTGTTTTGATTAATTTCCACTCAGCCTTTGTTTAGGCAGGAAAATACAAGGCGGGAGAAAAATATTCCCCAAGCATCTCTGATTCTCCACGCTACTTACATAAAATACAACTGACCAAAGCTCACAGTTACAGATGAAGACCCAGAAGAGTTTAGCAAACTTCACACATTTATGTTGCCTCCTAAATGAAATGTAAAAATCCTGTTAAAGTTGCCTTTTGGGCTGTCACTAACGATTATTTTGCAAAACGATTAATCAGTTGATAATTTTTTCAATTAATAATCGGATCGCAAAAGGTTCCTTTAAGAAGATTTTGTATGAAATTAAACCAGTGAAACAATCTTTTCCACTTGAGGAGTTCTGGATAGAGCATATTAACTGACGAAAACATTTTTCTATCTGAAATGCAAAATAATTATATATATTTTTTACTTTTGATATAAATATTGCTGTAATAGGGTTGCTCTGTAAACTACAGGCATAATTCACAGTCTCTGTGCTCCATTTAACGATTGATAATTTACTAAATTAGTTGACGATTACTTCAATGATCGATTACGGTAATCATGATTAATCCGATTAATTGTTTCAGCCCTAGTTGCCTTAGATACAAGGTTTTTGCAGCAGTTCTCCAACAAGGACCCACTTTGCTCTCAGTACCTTTAATGACTTTACATGACTAGACAAACAATTATAGACTTTGACAGACTTAAAAATATAAAAATATTCTCTTTACATATTTAACAGGAGTTTGAAGGGTTGCCAATATCTGTAGCAGAGATTTAAAAAAAGTAAAAAACAAAAAAACAATGAATTAATAATAATTATTATTTCAATCCATACCCAGAGAGAACCAACACATGCACAGGGAGAACATGCAAACTCCATGCAGAAAGAACCCAGGCTGGGATTTGGACCTGGAACCTTTTTTCCACAAGGCAATAGTGCTATCCACTGTGTCACTCTTATGTGAACATAAAGGATAAATTGACTCTGACTAAAAGTGTTTATTTCTCATTTTTGGATTAAGACTTGTCAAGTTAAATTTAAGTTAGAGAATAAATTTTTTCTCTATTTTTTAGATAATTTACTGACAATTTGTTTTAAGCTTTAAAGCCATTTGTATGGCGCCCTCCTGGGGTTTAATGATCGTACTGCATTTGAATTTTGAATCCGTATGAGTATTGGTTCAATTCATTTTGTGAAAGCACTTAGAACAAACTGACAGTCGCTCTGCTGCTATGGGCGTTTCATTAGCCTTTAAGGTTCTAGCATGCAGGTTAGAAGGTCTGCTTAGGCTTTAAGTGATGCAGGCATTTAAGCAGTGGTGCCCAATAGTGTCTCCACACTAGAAACATCCACAACCAAACATATAAAGAACAAAAATCCCAAATCTATCAAGCTTTTTCAATAACTTACTTGGTTGTTAGAGTTTTGGTTGAAGGCTGAGCCGCCTTCCCTGCTCTGATGGAGGGACCTGGGTGGGGCTTGGACATAGAGGCTCGTCCTTGAGTAGGACCTCCTCTACCCTGCTTGGTGGCTCTTTTTTTCATGTCATTGCTACTCTGGGCTTTCTCTTGGCTTGGCTGGGTGCTGGGGTAAGTGGCTGCCTTCTTGTTTTCCGCCTCCAGATGCTCCTGCCACCACTTTTGTTCTGCACAATAGGAAGAGTTACTTTAAGCAGCAGCAGATAAAAATTTACACAGTTTAACAAAAAATATTCACTACTACCTAGCTGAAGTCTTGAACTAACTCTGGCTCTCTGATCTAAAGGATGGAAAGTGCAGACTCACTGCTCAGCTGCTCAGGTGGATCTCCAGTTTGAGCTTTGTCTTCCAGCTCAATGCTAGCCTGGAAGCTGAGGCGGGCATCGCTGAGGACTTCATTTGACCTTTCTGAGTTTAGGTTGCTGTCATATTGAGCCAGCTGGGCCACACCCAGCTGGCATAGAGTATGGCTGTCACATGGAAAGGTGACAACTGCAAGCTGACAAGTCTGTGCCAGATGACACACATTATGAACATTATTCATAAATATGTGGAATTCCTTAAAATCGTTTTAAACGACAGCTCAAATGTAGAAAATAAAAACTCCTACCCTCTCCTGCATATCCAGCAGCTCTTGGCAGGGAGATATGCTGGTCAGACGGATCAGAGCTGTTAGGGCCTGACACCTCTTGGCCACCAAGGAGGGCTGGTCGATGGCTGCCTGAGCTCGGCGTTCACGCAGCTGGATCAGTCTCTGCAGCAGGGCAAAGTGAGCATCCAGCAGCACCCACTCCAGCTGCTTGCTCACCTCGCTGTGACACATGCACTGACTCACACTCTGGGCAGCCAGCACTGCTACACTGAGAACAGGAAAGGACATTTGGCCTCTCTTAATTAGAGTTCATAAACTAAATGTGGTGGCATAAAATGATACACTTTTGTTTGACCATTAAATATTTGGAGTAAGAGACAAAGGCATAGGTAGATAATAATTATGAAGGAAGAGAAAAACAGATTCAGCCTTTTTCTTTTGTCTATCAGCAACTTGTAAATCTAGAGACTGAAATTTCTGGGCATAAATCCCTATACTGTTCAGCACTTTGCAATAAAGCACTTTATAAATAAAGATATGATTAATAATTGGTACAGGTTTGCTGGAGCAGGAATGTAGGGAAACTGGAAATAGTTGCATCAAGTCTTTTTTCCTCCAATCAGAAACAGGCTAAATTGATGCCATTAACAATGCACCACTGCTGCCAACATACAGATTTTCTCACTATAATTCGAGACTCTTCAGATCACTTTGCAACTTAATTTTCCAAAAAGTGACTAGTTCCTAATATAGCAACGTTTTTATATGTTGGAGACTTTGGCAACAACATGAAAGCACCGATCATATTCGTTAACATAGCAAGATTGATTTAAAGGGTTCAAAAAATGCAAAACCAAGTTTTCATCATCATAGATGAATAACGATAGTCCAGTGGGTGAAATTGATGTACAGAGAAGTTCAAACCTCATCAACACCTCCTTTCTCTGCAAATCTCACAATTCTTAACTTCCAACATAAAACGGGCAAATTCAGATGAAGCACTGAACTGACGTAAATTCTGGGATGTTGCCTTATTTGGTTCTGGCCTGTACTTTTGTCACGCCCCGAAATTGACATACAGACCAGCCCACTGGTTCACTGGCTCAAGAACATGAATAGAGTTAGATGTACGACACCAGTTTAGCTGTTTATTCTACAGTTGGGTTTACTTCTACAATAATTACAAAGCAGGCAGTTTCTCTATTGAAAATGAGCCAGAACCACGGGGGTAAATGCAAATTTCCAGGCTGCATATAGAGAAAGGGGACATTTTCACAGTCTTCCCGAGGATCCGAAGAGTCGACAGGCATGGATTCTTTTTGTCTATCAGAAGATCCCTGCAAAGTTTGATGCTCAGCTGTTCATTTGCTCTAAGCATTTTACCGAAGACAGCTTTCAAAATCTTGGACGGTTCAAAGCAGGATTTGCTAAACTTCTTTTACTGAAACGAGGGGCTGTTCCGACTGTAAGGCCATCACAATCGCAAGCTGGAAGTATGATTCTGTCTCTAAACTGTTGATAGCAATGCTAGCATATCTATGGTGACCTGATTTGGATTTCTGAAAAGTAGGACACTTTTTTTGGGGGGGTGGGGGTATTGGGGGGGCTGCTGGGTCGCTGACTGGAGCGGACATTATCAGCTCCGGGGCTGGTCCGAACCTGACCCAGTGACGGTATGCTTCGCTCCACGCCTGCCGGGGCTACGTTGTCCAGGCTACAGTCACCGGGTAGGGTTCGGTCACTCCGTCCCCCGATGGCTCCCTGCACCAGACCAGCCCAGGCTCGGTTCTGCTGCATTGTAGTCGACCAAAATCCCGGACGATTTGAAATACCTCCCAGATGTTTTTAGGTATGAAAAGTAGGACATGTCCGAAAAAAAGAGGACGTCTGGTCACCCTACCATATCAACAGTTTGATTTTTCAGTGAGTGAGTGCTTGTTGCTATGGTGACTTTGTCATGTGTCATGTCTTTGCTCAGCAGCTTCGCTCGTTGTAAACCAACCAATCAGCGCACAGCTCATCTAAATATTCATGAGCATACCATAAAAGGAAGAAAACCTGTCATTTCATTCTAGGGCTTTAAACCAGGCTTGCATTAGGGCGCATAGAACAGCAAATATGCCATTTTCAGCCCAACCATTGTTACACACTCTATTCAGAGACCTTAAGGACCTGCACCAAATACCCTATAGAGTCATTCTATGACCCTTTAAGGAGTATTGATGTAGATTTGTTTTTCATTTTTAGTTCTCAACATATCTAGAGTGTTTTTAACCACTTTCTATCAGGATGAAGTTGATAATCCTCTCTTCTAAAACCTGGATTTTGAAATTTGCAAGTTTATGACATCATCTAGCGTTTTTTCAGACAGGGAATAACTTTCCTCGCTAAACAGTTGGCAGCAGTGTGCTGAACATGCTCAGTTGGACCCTCCCTCTCATCAATAGGACAGAAATTTTTAAATTTTTTTTGGGGGGGGAATGGCTTTGAGGTGTAAAAGTAAAATTATTCATATGATTTAGTTTGTCCTGACTGTTTATATTAATTAATAACAACCTGATAAGATTGAATCTTTTTTTGTTTGTTTTATACATAATTCAAAATTATGTACTTGGCATATGCTAAAATCTGTGTCCAACCAGGATATGGTGTTCATTCATAGCTGAAAAGCTACTCAACGTCCAGGGAAGTTTGGCTGCAGTGTTAGATATCGTTGTCACATAAGGACTGGAGAGCTGGAGGCGTTTTTACAAACGCTTCTGTGAATCTAACTGATTGGGAGGAAAGAGGGTTGTTTTTTGCCGTTGAATTTTGGGGGTGTGAGTTTACTTTAAGTTAAGCTTTGATATAAAATTGTGGTTGTAAGTGACATAATGTGTCTCCATAGGTAACCTACGTGTGATAAACCTGCTCAGGAGTCATGGACTTCTCAGACAGCATGCTCTTCTGCTGCAGCTGCCCAAGGGCCAGCAGCCCACGCAGAAACTGGGCGTTCAGGCTGCAGAGGGGGTCTGACATGCGCTGCTTCTTCTGACTGCAGAAATAAATAATAAAACAAGAAATACAAATGGAATTTATAAACAAAATCTCAAACTTCTACATTTTTAAAACAAAAAAAAAATCAATATAAAAAACCTTCCCCATTCTCCCTCCTGCAGGCCTGAACAGAACATCCTGATATATTACACATGCTGTCATGACCTCACACTTTCCCTCTCTCCCTGAATGCATCCACCTCCGCCACACACTCAAACAAAACACACACTTAACAAACCTCTTGCTACAGTGTTGGCTGACAAAGTGCTCCAGTCCCTGATGTAAGAATAGAGCAGCCTCCTTCTCTGTAACCTCACAAGCTTTCTCCTCCTGCTGCAACAGAGCCAGTCCTGTGAAGAATCTGGAATAAAGCAATAAGCACAGTCAGTGCTGAAGACAAGATGAAGATGTGAGACTGTGTTGCAAAAGTATGCACAGCCCTTACATGGTTTTCAAAAGGGCAGGGTGAGGGTTAGATCCCTTTTTTCACAAGATCACCAACTCCAATGTGTTTGGAGGAATCTCTTTCTTCTTTTGCTTGTTTTAAAAAAATTAAAAATACAATTGTTTGTTGAATTTGATCCTTTTTACCTGCATAGCCATTAATAAAACATTTAGCGTTTAACTCAAACAACAACGTCTGAGGAGATAAATTAAAGAAAAGAAAGGATGTAATTTTCTAAAAAAAATGTTTCTTACTTTTTGGAATGAATGGTTTCTGTTTTGTTTATCTATACATTTTTATTGTCCGTGTCCAACAACAAAAGCGAGAAATAAAAAATAAAAAAAAACAACAACAAAAAAAACAATAACAAAAAAACAAATATTTGTAGTTATTAGTCTGTTTGTGGGAAAACTATATAACCAGATGGTCCAGGTTTTATAGTTGAGAGGGTCACTTTCCTACACTTATGACAGAATCCTACATTTCCCTCCTATTATGGTCATCTGCAGGGGCAAGCTAGAAGGGGGGCCATGGGTGGCCAGGGCCACCCTTACTAAGTAATATGTTTTTCCCATTAAAACATACATTACCACCTTGATTTCTTTCACAACTCTAAATAAAAATTTACAAAAAAATTATAGTAATTAATATATTATAAACATCAATATACTAACATTGAATAATAATAATAAAAAAAAACGGAACTCACTCTTTTTAGAACTATGTTTGTATAAATATGTGCTAGCTAGGGCTTCATGAAAACTTAGTCTGTCTTAACAGATTTATTTGGGACACATGGATGTTTTCTTTGTTCAAATTCCAGTTAATGCAGCGTGATCATTTTAGACTGACTCTAGACTGGTTTTAGTGATTATCAGTTTTTTACCCCCCCTCAGACAACATTGGTTCCTGCTTGGCCACCCCCATAGAAATTTTCTGGCTGTCACTGGTCTTCTGACCAGGAGGAGGAGCTTATTTGCCTTGGCCAAATAATGTTTTATTCCCCTCTTGGATTTGCATTATGAATTGGTTTGAAAACATTCCAGTTTTTCTAAATGAGTTAAAAGCTAATTTGATCACGACAAACAGGTTTAAATTGGAAGGCAACCAGACTTCCACTCTGTTTTTTTTTTTAAGGAGTTTTAAAAATTGTCCAGGAGAGTTTTTCCATTCTGTTGTCTCACACCAGAACAATCTCTAGTTGGAGCACTGATATATTAAAGCAGCTCCTGAACAGATGCATATCAAAATGCCGCCCCTTGCTCTCTTCTTCTGGATTGTTGGGGACTCTGCTGTGCATGGGCTGTGTGATTGTTTTTTTGGATCATAATGAGAGTGCTTATCTAATCTCTTTGGAATGGGTCCTATGACTAAATTTGAAATGCTTGGAAGCTGAAACCACATCCCCTCCTCTGTTTAGTGATGGCTTTTTTCTTTTTACAAAGAGGGCTTCCTTGACGCCTATCAAAAAAAGATCTGTTCTCTCTGTCCAAAATCTGGACAATTTGGTCTTCAAAGGTGTATCCTTTGCTCTTGAGGTGCAAGTTTAAAGCCAAACTTGTCCAGAGCTACTGGCTCTCCTGTGCAGCTCCTTGCATTTGTGCAATTGTTGTTTGGTTTCTCTAATATACTGTAGGAGGCTGTGCAATCCTCACTGCAATGCATCGCATAAACAACACAGCACAAGTTAGGTTTGGGTGTTCTGTCTTTAGGAAGAACCAGCTTTTGTCTGAGTTAGTGTTTGTATGTTGGGTTTTGGTAGTTTTTCAGGAATTCCATTTGGACACATAGAATTACAATGTTTTTGAGTATCTCCGTTTTCTCCTCTGTGTTGCATGCAGTGTTGTTTTTTTCTCCTAATGGGATAAAGTTTGGCTCTCAGACATAAAATCCATGCTAAACTATGAATCATCTTACTGATGATGGTTTTCAACCATGTTAACCACTGAAATATGTTTGACTTGGAACTGAATGTTTACTTATTTACACTCTTATGCTTTGAAAGGTATTTGTGGTGAATTTATCACATATATCTGCAGAGTTATCTTTTTGATCATGATTTCAGCTCATTTCACGCTTTCATTTGTTCTTCTAATGCACAGCCAGGAGGGTGTGTGTTTACAAACAATATATAACAGTCCGAATATTATCTAATTAAATAATCTATATCAGTGGTCTCCAACCCTGGTCCTCAAGATCTACTGTCCTACAGATTTTAGATGCATCCCTGCTTCAACACAGCTGAATCAAATGAATCAGCTTGAAAAGGTAATCAATCATTTGATTCAGCTGTGTTGAAGCAGGGATGCATCTAAAATCTGTAGGACAGTAGATCTTGAGGACCAGGGTTGGAGACCACTGATCTATATACTGCCCATACTAGGTGTGCAATAAATATTTCAAAGTTGCACAACAAATATAAAGACTTCCGAGCAGTATTTAGTATAGACTAGAAATGGTCCCTAAGCCACGCTTTTGAACATTGCTGAACACACAGCACCATGCAATGCAGCAAACAGGTCATGAATAAATCTATGAGAGGTCAAAGCCAGATTGGATTATAAAAAAAAAAAAATAAAATTCTTAAGCATTTCATGAAGCACAATTTAATGGATTCATAGTTGGTCCATGTTTAGTCATGATCTCACTACTCTTTAATGCCAGCTTCAATTATAACTATCAAATCAGTTTAATAATAAAAATAAGACATTTAAGAGTTGTATTTGAATGAATATGTTTAATCTCTCCAAGATAGGATGTCTCAAGTATCCAGTGCTGACTGTGAAGGAAGATTTAGTTTTAGATTTAGGCAGAAGCTTGGTTTGGTGTAGAAGGCTTACAGCCGTACATGTTTGAGCCCTTGCCTCGTAACGCTGCCAGTTCTGTTAGCTCTACGCCTGCTGAAGACACAGACGTCCATCCCCGTGAACACTGGGATGGAACTCAATGGGAAAGGAAATTATTCTTATTTATTTCAACCGTTGCTTAGATTAGCTGTGACCAATACGATTTACAGATGACCGTTGATATATGATTGGCCAAATTTAGGTTTTCAATCGACATATAACTAACTGGCCTGCATACAATAACGAGAAAAAAACCCCACAGGATTATTTTTTCAATAGAAATTTTGTAACTTTTGGGACAATATAGTCTGATAAAGAGTACATTTATATATATGTTTAAGCCAGCATGTTTTGACATGTAAAAAGTATCCAGAAAGCTCTTAAAGTGGCACATTTGGACAAATATTGTAAGAAGGACATACGTGAAAAAAAAAATCTAATTTATGTTCTAGTATCAACCTCTTAACATTCACCTCATTTTGGGAAATTCTCGCCTATTTTGCATACTCAAATGGAACAACAAAAAACAGGAACTGTAAGCCAAATTGTACATGTGTGATACATTATTTGAAAGCTAACACCTTCTAGTTTCTGAATATATACATGAAAATTGGGTGAGTAAAACACAGAAGCTGCATCAAGCACAAACTGCATCAGTTCAAACAACACTCAAAGTTTTTTATTTTATTCTCGAAAAAAATAGGTCTTTTTTGAACGGCAGTAATAAAGACATTCTTGCTTGTTGTGGCTGCTTTGTCATATTTACATTTTGACATGCTGCTAAATCTGTGTTAATTATGCTTTGGTGCTTGCTGTGTCCATAAAATTAACTTGGTGGTTGAATTGTGGAGAATGGAAGCTTTCCAACGATGTCTAACATGTCTATACTGGTAAACATTCTACCAGTGTAATTTTCATGCATTCTGAGTTATTAGTTGTAAATGCTTTATAATGGTGGGTTTTGAGAGGATAAGTCAATAAACTCATGCTAAAGTACTGTAACATTAGATATGCACTATATATTAAACGCCACTGGTTGTTGCATTAGTTTTAAGGTTTTCAGGTGCCATTAATTGAGGCTCTTCTGATACATTGGGTTGATGGGAATCAAGGATCACAATAGGGTTATGGGGATGAAGAGAGGAAAGATTTTCCTGTTTCTCTGTGATATTGTGCAAAAAAAACCCAAAAAAAACCCCAAAACAACATACTATATTCTGTAGTTTCTAGCATGAGATGGTCCTTCTGTACCTAAGTGCAGGGTGCAGGGGGTGCAGCGCCAGCCCGGTCTGAAGGTGCTGTAGAGCTTCCCTGCTTCTCCCCTGAAGCAGCAGAAGTCTTCCTACATGGAGGCTGAACTCCCAGCTGTCGGGACTCAGAGACCAGGCATCCAGGTGCTTCATTAAGGCTCGATATATGTAACTCTCCTCATCTTGAATCCCTGCATTGCGATTCTGAAACAATAAATGCCCCAAAACCTTCATTTAAAGCTGTTCACATCACTAGAGAAAAGTTTTTACTAAGAAAATCTTTACTGGATTAATTTGTTGGGCTATTTGGAAAGGAGTGTGGACAAGTGCTTGATAAATAATACTGTATGTAAAAAATTAGTTCTGCTAAATCTGTAAAAGCTCAAAAGACATTTCTGATGTGTGTGTTGAAGTCCTGAGGTAAACCTTTTGGGTGCCAGTTTTTAGAGATTGTTTTTAAAGTGAGGAGTTACCTTCCCAGCATTCTTGGACAGCCAGATGTAGAGGGTCTGTATGTAGTCTGATTTGTTGGACTGTCCTTGCTGTCTCAGCAGGTGGTACTCCTTATCCAAGGCCCGCAGCTGGTTCTCCACAGTGGGCGTGCCAAAGAAACCATGCAGCTTACACACTGCCAGAATCTCATCCTGATAGGCGGATGATTTAGCATCACTTAACCCCTCACTATCCTTATAACCCTAGGGAAGACAAAATAACTTTTTTTAATTTTACCGTTGTATAATTCAGCATCATTAAAGCTTTATAACACAACCACAATCTGGTGTCCATCATGAAAATGTTTAACTTGCTATTCACTGCAGAACTGAAATTATTTCTGTGTAAATGTGCATTAATGCCTACTGTTGCACTGACCTGTTAATTGGTGGCAGCCCAGGGTGGGGCTCTGTTGGTGTGGACACACCTGAACTGCTTTGCCTGACACTGGTAAAGGCATAAATGACACCTAGGAAGGCAGCTGCTAATTCTTTTAAGTTATGTTAGAGACTGGTGCTTAAAACTAGCTGCTGAGAATTGAGGACCTATTTAAAAAAACTAAAGAGACAGACGGTAAATCTGATTTTTATATAGGATCTTACTACTGCCGCTGTGTTTAGAGAGTATGTGTAATTTGAGTGGAGTCCTTGTTTGATTTGTACACCTTGATTTGAAAATGGCTGCAGTGGTGTAAATATTTGGGAAAATGTGTATCCATGTTGTGCTTTATGGGTTTGTATTGTATGGTATTTATGGTTAACTGTCTGGGCAAGGTGCAATATTGTGGAAATTTGTAAAACTCTCATGTATATATGGAGATTAGGTTCAAATATTCTAATGCCATTTATAGTTTGTGTGTCCTGAATATTCCTAAGGTTTTTACCTGACTGTTGTTTAGACTGACCACAAAATGGGGAATATAAAAAGAATGGAAAAAGTCTCTACTGCTCTCTAAAGTCATGGGTCCGCCCCTTTCAAGTGTGGGCTGCAGTTACTGAAACGCTTGACACCTACTTTTTTTTTTTAGAAACTATCAAAGCAGGAATTGACTCAATGTAAGAAGTTTGAATGTTTTATGCAACTAATCAAACTGCTGTTTATTTTTTATTTTTTATTTGTTCACCTTTCTGTGAAGGCTGTAAATCTCCAAAGAGTTATGCTGCTCCTCCAAAACGAGGCCGAGCAGGAAGTGGAGCTTGGCATTTCTGGGACTTAGTGGGATAGCCGATGCGTAACAAGCAGCCGCCTGCTCCAGGCTGTGCAGAAGACACTCCATATTCTCCTGCTTTAACTGGTCCCCTGCAGAAGGTGGATGGAGAAGAGCACTGCTTGTTTACACATTAGTTAAAAACTTACAGACGGGATTTATTCTTGCTGAACTGCATGTGGGCCTCACATTGGAGTAGCATCTATATAGATCTAGAAGGAAACAAGCTCAGTTCGATGGACAGTTCAGTCGGTTTTTGATTCGGACTTGAACTGGGCCACTCTAACATAAGTGCTTGCTTGCATGTTTAGGGTTATGTTAGAAGATGAACCCCAGTCTGAACATGTATGAACATTTTTGCAACTTCTAACAAGTTCTCTTCCAGTACTGCTCTGTTCACACATCTCATTCTTTTGTAGGTTTGTACTGAGAAGGGAATTGACTGAAATAGATGTTATAGGGTTATAGATTGGAGGAGCCTGAATTCAGATGGACATGAAAATGGTCATAAAATATTTCTACAACTTTTTGTTTAATGTCATGGTTATGTTCTGCTTTCTTATATATGATATCTTTTTCATAATGCTGGATGCTTCAATGTGTTTTGACCAAAAACAACAGATAACAAAACTTATTTTTTTTCATTTGTCAACATAAGACACTAATTCAATCAATGACTGAATAAATCGTTTAAACCCATTTTTGTGATTTCTTGATAGGAAATATTTGGGAACACTGTATCAGAAATCATAACTTTTGAAATAAAAACAGAACGATTAAACCCAGTTTAATATTGCATCCTTAATCTGTGTTCAAGTAGCATGACACGGCCTTCTTGTTTTGCAGCAATATGACCCATGGGGTTAAACTGAGCCTCTCTTTAAGCCACTCAGCCTCTTAAAGCTCCCGTTTATATTTTAAGAGATCTGCCTCTCTCCCTGGATCTGGTGTTCTTTCTCTGTTCGGTTTCAGTGACTCTTATTCGGTCGTCTTGGATCAGTCTAAAATGTCACTTCTGTGAGTCATCAAGCAATTAAGGAGGCACGCATAGCTGAAAAAAGAAGGAACCCCAGCAGTAACTGGAGTCTCTGACACATTAGACACGAGAGGACGTCTCAGAGGCGACCACAAACGGCCCCATTTCCATGTATTTTTTAATAGCTGCAGCTGAGATAAGATGCAATGTCGGAATCGAGACACGGACACAAGGGCCCGGTTCTGATTTTCTATTGTATCAAAATCACATTGAACCACATCAAGGATTCATTTAGGAAAAACAGATTTAACATAAATGTTAGCAATGTAAAATATTGAAGGTTTATTTCATTCTTGATGGATTTTAGAACCGAGTTTCACATTGAAGAAGTTAGATGCTGTCCTGCAGCAGAATGTTCATTTAAGTTTATATGTATTGTAAATGGGCAAAGAGTAACAAAAATCCAGATTAAGGATAAAAAGGCTAGATTTAATCCATAGTTCTTGGCAGGATGTGAAAAAATGTCATGTCAAGCAAATAATATGGCAAGAACATTAAATGCACACACTAAACATAATTTTCTGCGGAAGAAGCAAGACAGTAACAAGAACAAACAGCAGACGTGGTCAAATGTCTGCAGGGACAGGATAGAGGGTTCATAGAAATTCATGAAACTCATTAAAAACCTTAATGACTTTGAAGAAGACAGTATAATCATTAGTGAGATATATGGTTTATATTGAAAAACAATGCAACAATAGCAGCATTATGGAAATTACATAAAATTTTTTATTTTTTATTTTTAGATTTTTTAGGGGGGCTGTGTTTCTAATTTGCATTTCTTACCAAACAATGATGAAAATATACCTGGTTTAGGTAGATGTTGGTTGTAGCAGCTGAGATGCTCCTCAGCCAGAGAACAAAGTTTATCCACACAGTGATCCTCTCCTGCCAGTCGGAGTCTTTTCTCCCAGCTACGCACCTAAAAAGAAACTCATAATGGTGAATATCATCCAGCATAAGGCTATAGAGAATGTGGGGAAGTTGAATTGTAATTATGGTGATGGCGCAAAAAAAATCAAATTACTGTAACTTTTAGTAGCCAGTTAATTTTAATCTTAAATAATTTAGGAGGATTCAACACTCATTGAGGTTTTTGGACTTGTATTTCTGGACATCTGGATGTTGAGGCGATACCTCCTATTAAAGATCAGAGTATTGGGGAAATTTAATAAAAACCTATCTGCTACTTTCCTCTCATTTTCACCAACAGATTCTTCGTATTTGAGTTGTAGTTGCAGTTGTAAAGTCTGCATAAAAGCTATATTTGATATATTAAGCTCATTAAAATAATTTAATAGAGGCGGTTAAACCAGTTTAAATTTCAGCTACTATAGCTGATATGAAGACTTCTTCTGCAGACGTATTTGGAGGAATGGTTAACTGTGTTTGCAGCCAAGCAGCTGCATCAAAAGCCTTTTGATGCAGCCCATTGAAAAGCATTAGATTCAGAGTCGTAAAGCATAAAAATGGCACCTGCCAGACAGCACTGTGCTAGATGCAAAGATTGGTGATGCAGGGATTAATACACTTGGGGCAGACCCTTGGTTCCAGGGAATGAATTTTCTTTAATCCTGCACCAAGAGAATTTGGACAATTGGATACTCATCTTTTAAGAATAACTTGAGAATTTGCATCAATATTTGGAGGAGGGGCAAAAGCTGCTGTCAATTCAATGCAAATCAGGATGTATGAAGGGGCAGTATGCATGATTGCTGTGCATTAGGTTTTTAAACTCTACGGCTGGCCTCCGGAAGAAATGAGGATCAGTGAACAAAGCAGAGTCCATTAGGATGTGGATCCAATAAATCTGTTTTGTAGAAACCGCAGTGAGCTGCACAGACCCCAACCTAATAAAAACAACTTTAGAATGACTTAGAACAGACTCTACAGGCCGTGCTGTCCAACACCAGTGCCTGACCTCTAAAATAGAAGAGTGGTCAGAAAATCCAACAATAAAACTGGAAATACAAATGTAAGTGTATTTGCCCTTCATTTGAGTAGGTAAATAAGATGATCAATGGAATTAATATTTTAAAATGAGACAATTACATATTATGCACTTGAAATTAGACTGTATTTGGTTTTTTTTCTTATTTGAAACTAAATTGTCTTATTCCACTGGCAAATTGTCTCACCTACCTGCTCAATTAAATAAATAATTTAATTGTTTTAAGGAAAATTCTTTACTTTTATTTCAATTTTTTGGAATTTAAAACATCAAACTTAATGTCTTACTCTATGCATTAAGGATAGGTTGGTACAAAGACAAATTGTCCATTACTTTTGGCAATAGGTTTTGAATTAAGGCATAAAAAACATAATAATCAGCAACTTGATAAAGGATATGTTGGTAAAAATTGCGTTTTTTTCAGGTTATAAATTGTCTGTATAAAAACAAAATGTACACTTGTGTAAAATCTGAGGACAGGAGGTCAGAAAACAGGAGGTAATTACCTTATAAACATGCTTGGTTTCTATCTCCAAACCTCCAGATGTTAGAAAGTGCTGCTTATACCAGTTGGTTTCTGTCACATCCTGAATAAAAAAGCAATGATTCTGAAAGAGTCCAGTGATGGAGTTATAATAGCAAATGAATAAAGCTGAGAAATAGAAATCAACATCACACAACCAAACACATGCTTTAAGGTGGAGATTAAAGTAGCTTAGAGTCTGTGAGAGCAGTTTTAAATAAAGGATGAGCAAATTCAGGGTCAATAGGAACGACTGTGGCACTGCTGAGCTCTGCTTCATCTTTTATTTTAACCTTTGCATCCAGGTCCCCTGTGGGTTGGAGTGGACAGTCCAGGGTGTGCGGCCCGAGCTCAGATAGTTGCATCACGCTGTCACATCCTGTTTAGTGGAAAAAAAGAAAACATAAAAGAAAAATGCAAATCATTTATTTCATATTGAAAAAATTACCTGTATTGAAATCCTCACTGTAGGAAACATATAACAGAAAGAAAGGCATGTATGCCAGCCGGATACAACATGTTTACTTAAGAAATAATACCCCTTTCAATAAAGAAACATAATCTTTGTCTACAGTACCACCACGTTATTTGATATTACAGGATGGGTTAGAGTAGAGGTTAGACAGAGAGCACCTAGCACATTAACAATGTTGTTATTCAAGCACCTCTAATGGGTAAAGCTACCCTTCAGGGTGAAATGAGGACATAAATCTTTAAGGATCCAAGAAGTGACAAAATTACTCTTTATAATTTATTACTTAAAAACATATTTCAACTATTCAAAAGTCCCATATGTGAAATATCTCTTTATTTCTAAGCAGAATGTGAATTATCACTTCAGCTGAGCTAAAAATTAGGTTCAGTTTAGAAAAACATAGATTTTTATGTAAACCGAGGCTCCAGATTTTTACCTCGGTAATGAAAAAAACAACGGACCATAGCTGCTGAAATCTTTTTATCAAGCTCCAACTCAGGGACCTTCCAGCAATCTCCCAGAGGACAGCCGCTAAGTGGGTCGACCCGTGATCGCCGGGCCAGCAACTCAATGTAAGGCTTGGAGAAGATGCTCTTTGGGTTACTGTAAAACAGTGGAATTTAATTTATTGACTTATAACGTGCTGCAGTGAAAGTGTGCTTTTGGGTATGTATTTGTTACCTGGCTGGAACAGTAAGAACTTTTTAACAGGAATATAAAACATTATGAGGAGACCCTGCACCTAATGGAGACCAAAGCCCCATTAGAAAATTAAAAACATTTGCTACTTGATTTTTAAATCCAACGTTTAGATTGAAGACTAAAGTTTAAGTTTAGTTTAGCTTAAAGTTAAGGTGAGTTATGCACTGGTAATAGTCAGGTTAAGGTTTATCATCAGGGTTATAGGACATGGAAGGGGTTTATTAGGATGACAAAAATAAATAGGGGGTCAATATTTGGTTCTCACTACATATAGCAAGACAAGAACATGTGTGTGTGTGTGTGTGTGTGTGTGTGTGCCTGTTTATGATACCTATTTAGGATCTTTTCTAATATATTTACTGATCCCCTGAGGACCAACAGGTCTTAAGGAGATCAAACTCTGGTCTTAATGTGGTGGAACCTCATTTTCACTGTTAGAAGGGGGGTTTAGAGGTGTAAGTAAGTTAACTTCAGAATAAGGTTAGTACTATAACGTTAAGTAACTGAAAGAACGTAATTGTAAAGCGCTAATATGTGTGTGGGGAGAAGTGGTAGGTTAGCTACGGTCAGATCTTTCCATGCTCTCGTCCTGCGTGTAGAATATTTATTTGAACTGCTCTTATTATTTCTGTGATTTATTTAAAACAAGCTTGAATTTATTGTAGGTTTTCTCCATTCTTCATAGGTGTAAACATTTACACACAGTACAGCTCGCTAATATTTATACAGATGTTCTGTAGAAAGCTTTGCATGCATGACATGTTTTGTGTAGCCATAAACAAACTTCTAACTCCATCTGGCTGATATTTAGTCAGTCTCCTTTCTAGGGTTGTTGGAGTTGATTTAAACTGATTGTCTTCCTCACACAAACCCTGCCTCCATGCATGGCCTTCCTTACATTTCCAATAAGGTTGAGCAGACCTTTTTTAATCCAGCAACAGAGACAAACCATATGTCTTCTACATAGGCGTTTATGGACTGATGAGGGAATGTCTCAGTTACTTAACCTTAAAAAAACCAGATGAAAAGTTTGGATGAAGATCTCAGACTCAGAAGATTTTCTAAATGTAAACATAGTGGTGGTGTCATAAGGGTTTGGCACTTGCTCACTGAACAAAAAGGATGAAGGTCAAATTTCATATATGATATTTGGAAAAAGTGGATGGTTTCTCTTCCACTTAAAGGACATTAGAACATGTGTGGAACAGTTATGTTCCATAAACATAAAAAAAGAAACTGATGTTTGGTCATTTTATATTTGGCAATAAGTGTCCCACTATTTGTTTACCCGTTAAATGATGCCACAATTCTGGAAAGTTAAGTGTGTGGGTTTACATTTAATCAAAATGACAAAGTTTATAGAGTCAATCTCTATAAAAAGACATAGAGATAAGATTCAGCAATCACTGACAATCCCATGTCTCCACTCTTACAGACGGATGTCTATCTACCTGGTTGGGTGTTGCACTGAGCTCATCAAGGGTTGGTTCATAAGAGAGAGTCTGGGAGTGGATAGAAAACCATGGGCTGCCTGCAGCCCTGAACACTTTAGCTTGAGTTTGCCGTTCATGGCAGAGTGACCAAAACAGCGAGATCAGCAGATCTGCTGTTTCTGTGACAGGATGCCATCCCAGCAGGGAGTGGCTAAGCTGGAGACCTTCATGAAGAGGAGCTGCCAGGCTGGTGTGGTTGTGTGGGACTTTTTCAGGCAGTACAGAGCTCTCTGTTTTTCTATTTGTTAAAAAAAGAGAAAAATGGTCAATTGCCTGCAATTGTTGTTTCTTCAAGTTACATCCAATCAATGATACTAAACAGAAGCAGAATAATCTATTTGGGATTTAGGAAGAGGATTTAGGAAATGCCTCATTAACAGTGTAAATATTTGCTTCCTTCTTTTTTACATGGTATGTTTCAGGCTTTTGACTCTGTGACATCGAGGAAATCTACAATTCATTTAAATCCAGATTATGAAATTCATATAAGTTGTATTGTTAAGTAAACAAATAAAAATGCTTTATGCAGGTTTCTGACTTGCAAAATCTCTATCTAAAAAAACATGAAAAGGCGATGAATTAAACTGACTCCTTAATAATAAAGTCAATTCTGTTGTCTGTCCAATGTGTCTATGCTAATATGGTTCTGAGGGTTCGAAGATGAAAAGCGGAGGGACTTCAGCATCACCTGAAACCGATACTTGCTTTGATGGTGTTTTTTTTACTGCATGAAGATTTGGAGTAAACAAAAAAAAAGAGAAAAAATTTGAAACAAAAACCTTTTGATACACTGGAGAAAAACAAAATCAAGATAGGTC